CCTTTCCAAAACCAAAAACATGTAAGGAATGGACAGAAAAGTGCATTTTTAATATAAGCAGCTAATGTTAGCGTGTCCGCTTAACTATCTTACTATCTACAGCAGTAACATTTAGCATTTACTTCCAAGGAACATTTAAAAAAAAATTGCCCATTTGTGACTGGCATATCCAATTTCCTTACAGTGTGGAAACTAGTCCTGGATGCTATCAGAGTTTAGCTTAGCATTAACAGCTCTCTCCTGCCCTGTATTGGATTTTAAGTTTCTACTTCAGTATCCACAACTAGTCTCTGTTACAGCTTTATTAGCTTTAGCGTTGTAGCAACAGTTAATACAATGTGCTAGTGATAGTTGTCATTTCAGCCAGGAAAAGAAAAAACAAGTCTACAGGGGTCTGAAATCAAGGACCCATTGTTTTGAAGATTAATATAAACTGTAATTGTAAATCTAGCATCAATTCCCTTATTCCCTTTCATACCAGAATTCACATTAACATTACATAAGAAATTAAATCAAATATCGATCATGTGACATGCACATTTTACAATAAACAATAAACATAGATAAATAACGCCTGCACAATACAGCGCCAGTGAACATGTTTACTTCTTCTTTTGGAGTGAGACTTAAACAATATACTTTACAGCAAAGTATCACATGTGAAAACTACAGTACAGTAAACTGCTGTATAATCCACTGGCATCTGTATATACGAGTCAGTGCTCAGTTTCCTAGAGACAGTCCCGCAAACACACACCGCACTTTGTTAATCCTGCTGCCATATATAATGTGGAATTATGATCAGCTGCCACGAGCAAACAGCCTGAATCTCTGTGTCATAAATCAAGTCAGCATCAGGGACTTCAAAGTCCTGACTCAGCGGGAGCAAAAGAACAGTCCTGCAAACTTTCACAAATTGAACCCTATTAATAAAAAATAAAAAAAAGCTGTTTACAGACAATGCCAATGCTATTGTCATATACATCCACACATTCATTTCACTATAAAAAGGCTGAGTCAGCACCGGCAGTATTTCACATGGTCCCATCCTTAACAATACACAGAGACTATAAATATGAAACTAGGTTGGTAGCCCAGCAGGTCACAGTCACTGTGGTCTGAAGAGGCTGTCAGCTCGCCAGTTATCCCATTGAGCTGCCTGCTGCTCCACTGCAAGCAGGAGACACAGCAGCCTCACACATTACCACAAATGTAAAGCATGTGTTCAGTGTGGAGGGCAGCAATAGTGTTTGATAATACTGCCATTTACAGACAGGCTACAAATTAAAAGGAAAAACCTGAATAAACGAGTGGAAGAACATAACAATGCAGATGCTGCTAGAAGAGGTTACAGAGTGGTTTGAGGAGTAAATGATGTGAAGCATATGCTGTGGCCTTCGCAGTCAACCAGATGTCAACTCAGTTTTAACACCAAAGGCAGATTTTGGGCCGACATATTCTAGAGGACTCCCCACCCATCATCAAAACACCATATAAAGAGAATATATTTTGGAAATATGGTGTTCATCACTCCAGCAGAGTTCAGAGACTTCAGAGACAGGAGCATTGAAGCTGTTATGCCTTCACTAGCAGCAAGCTGAACACACTTATAAAAGTGTTCAAGACAGAGGTTGGCCTAATGGAAGCAGGTGTATGACTGTAAAACTATGTAGTATTGAAAGTGGGTGTAATTATAGTGCTTAAAAAGATCCAACACAATAACCGAGTATTAAGTTTCTTAGTAAGTTAAACCAAACTGGTCGATTAACCAATTACTCTGTCAACAGAAGATTAAATGGAAACTATATTTTCAAACAATGTTAAGAAATCATAAGTCCCTCTTCACAAAGAGCCCACAAAAGAAATAAGATACATAACAACAGTAGCCCAACATTATCCGCACAGCTTTGGCAGCACAAAACCGAAAAATATTTAACTGAAATTACATACATTTCAGATAATGGTCCAACAAGGGAATTTGTAGTGTTGATAAAAGATGCCTGTTAATATTTGCTGGACATCTGACAGAAAAGTGGCAGTCAAACTACCAGCTGCTATCGCAACAGAAACCAACGGCTGGAGGCAGAACAAAAGCTATTCTGGAGTCTCAAGGAGCTCAAACAACTTACTAAAAGACACTTTTGAGGTATTTTTCCGCTTTAATTTGTCACACATCAGTATGGAACCAGTTTCTTTTTCCGCTTGGTTCATCACTTTTCTACAATCTCAGTCCTATCTTTTACAGAATCGCTGAGGAAGTAACTGGCACACACTTGAAATATTCATACACAACAGCATCAAAAGCGAACCAAACCCTTAAAAACCAGCCCAGTCTGCCACTGTAGCAACTGTATGTGGCTACTTTTGAAAGGATTTAATGATTATATTTTAAAAAGATCCAAGAGACTGATCCAAATTATAGCTGCAACTAATTATTATTTTCTGTTGATTATGAATAATTATTTGTCTTGCATGACCTTTTTGTAAAGGATTGTTTTTAGAGTAATTACATAGCCTACAAAAATATAAAAAAAATGTGGAAAAATGACCATTTACATTAACATTCACATTTTAGAAACTGTCAAACCTGTCTAATGGAATTATTGCTTAAAATAAAATACTGAAATGATTAATCAATTATCAAAATAGTGAATTTATTTTCTGTAGATGAACTTATCATTTGCAAGGTTGTTGACAATTTCAAGAACCCTTTAATGACTTAAGCAGCCTAGCAACAAATCCAATGACCTTTATACATTTATTTATAAAGGGTCATTAATATTGCAATCCTTTTACTTGTTCTGGTTACATTTATGGACAAATTTAGGCTTTTGTTCATTTGTATTCCCCCAAAATGAATAATAGGTTAAAGCAGCAAGAGTCCACAGCTTTCCATTTTTAGCCATGTCTCTGTGGATGTCAATGTCAGTGTCTCTGTCTGTCGGTCCACTGCTTTGGTTTGAGATCAAAGCTGCTGTGTCACTAAGAAGTATAACTCTGTATGTGATCAACTTTCAAACGGGACTTCTAAGTTCACGCCACTGCTGTACAAGCCGAAGAAAATTAAATCACTAATACAAACCAGACATGTGATTTTGTGGATTAATTTAAGGACTTACTGTCCTTGCATGAGTGAACTGAGCACTTAAAAGGGTGTTCACACAGACACACATCCATCTGTGTTACAGTTTGGTATGCACATGAGCCCCAATCCCCACCAAATACAAAGCATGCACACATACACACAGGCTGGGACCCAGTATCAAAGACTGGCAGCATCACCTGGTGCTGCAATTTGTCTATGTTTAGTTGGTAGGCCTTAGCTAAATGTATACGGGAAACAGCATTCCTGCCTTAAAACCACGGATTAGCATTGTCTGCAGCTATTATCCTAATCAGACCAAGGGGGCCCTGCAGTCTGGGACGGGGCACCTCTCCAGCATTGCTCTCTCAGTAGCCAAAGAAAATATCAGAAAATGATCTACAGTAACAAGATAAACTGTTTGGCTATGACTGCTAGAAGGTTGCTTCAGCATGGAAAGAAATAAGTGTAACTTGAACTTTCCGTACATACAGCGGCTATTTGTCAGGATGTACGAGAGCTTTAAATAGTTGGAGAGAGAAAAAATGAGTGAAAGTCAATAGGGATGCTGTTTATCCCGAGCTGGCACACCGAAACGTTCACACACATTATTATAAAAGAAGCAGAGAGCAGTGATCTGTCAACACAACATGAGCATCACAATCACTGTTACCCTGAGACCACCCCCTCTCATAGTGTCTGTGTAGGTGTGTAGGTGTATGTGTATGAGTGTGTGTGTGTGTGTTTCTATTTAAGTCTCCTTGTGAAAGAGAGGAGGGACAAAGGGGAGCAGGAGATAAATATTCTAGTGCGTTCTTCTCTCCATCACTTTGTGTCTGTCTGTATCCACAGTATCAACGCAGAAAGGTAAGGCCATTAATTTTACTTTGGATTTAATAATTAGATAAGATATTAAATAACAACACCGGTTGGATATAAAATAATCGAAACTTACAATGAAGTTGTTTTGTCTCACCAACAGTCCAAAACCTTAAGATTAATATTCACATTTTTTTCACAAAAAAAAAAGTTGAAATGACTAGTCGATCGGGATACATTTGGGTAATATGCTGCTTTTCTTTGTCTCGTGTGGTAGTAAAGCTAATATTTTTATCATGAAATGTACCAAAACTGGCCATCAAACAAAAGGATATAATAAAAGAAAATAGACGTCAATTTGGCATTCTAAATTCGGTCAGTACTGTTCTGAGAATTGGGGGCTCTGTCTACATTTGTGTCTTTATCCAATGGAGAAGTGGGGGTGAAAGCAGGAAATGTTATCTATTTGGAATAGTTGCAATGTGGGGCCTTGCATGCTTCTCCCTGTCTGCCAACACTTTGCTTTCTGGCAGATGAGGAGGTGACGGGATGATTTGGTCCAGCAGACCTTTCTACAAACTATGACATGAAGTGCCCAATAAACAAAACAAAACAAAAAAGGTTGGCCATGTGAAAAGTCACATCCGTTCATAGTTTAAAATATAATTCACAAATCATTGCCAAAGAATAATAAAACTAATAGAGTGACGAATAACACTAGATTTAGACTTTAACAGATCAATTTGTCTCTATATATACGGTAAATTTCCATTCTTGTAACACTATACGGTCGACTGTAATGGCATGTAACTATAGTGGAAAACACAGTTAAGACCCATTGGGGCATTCGACCCAAGTGGTCCCCATGGTTGTGCACTTCAGAGGCAAAAGGTTTTATTTTTGTCTTCCAGGGGGAATTGAAATAGCCAAGATGCCTGAGAAAGCGTAAGTGTATTGTGTTTCTGTTATTGTTTCCATTTCCAAATCAGAGTATCAGTTTCACACAGCAAATGGGATTCCTCTATAGAAACGCATAATAAAATGTAACATAGCAACTATAAGAGACAATTCATTATTGTTTTTTCTTATCTGCAACTGAATGCTAATGCTTCATTTCCATGTCTTTTGTGTCCTCTCTTTATTTTCTACCCACAGACCGGAGGTAAGACGTCTAATAATTTATCATACCCGTATTATCATCGGGCAACTGAAATGTCACACTAAGAAAAAAATATTCTTTTTGCAGAGAAAATCTAAAATCTCAGCCTCTCGCAAGCTCATGTTAAAGGTGAGTCCTCAGTTCTATTTGCATAGACTGGATTGTCAGCCAGAAAGACAGTTAAACAAACAGTTAAATGTACCTTGTGTGTGTGGTATTTCAGAGCTTGATGGTCGCCATGGCCAAGGAGGAGCTGGAGCAGGAGCTGGAAGAAAAAGAGGAACAGAAGACCAAGTACCTGGAAGAAAAATCTCCTCCTATACAGACCAGTGGCATGTCCTTGGTAGAGCTAAAGGTGTCATTTTACATTTACCACAGACGGTCATACTAAATCTAAAACTCTTTCTTTGTTCTCATTGAAATAATGTTGCTAAATTTCACTAAAATTGTGATCAAATTAACATGAAATTCCTCTCATTTTCTACACAGACGTTATGTGAAGAGCTGCATGCCAAAATAGACGTGGTGGACGAGGAGCGGTACGATATTGAAGCCAAAGTCTTGCACAACAACAGAGAGGTAATTGAACACTAGTTGAGAAAGATGACAATGATCATTAATCATTTCAACATCAACAACAAAACGATAACACACGTCTCAAGGCTGCAACACTACACTGATGAAATCCAACAAGTACAGTGTGTTTGGATTACCTTTAAATGAACAGATTGTACAATAGGGCCCTTAATACTGGTGCTGACAAATGACCCAAATTAACTTCCTCTCCACTTTCTCTACAGATCAAAGACCTGAACATCAAGGTACTGGATCTGCGAGGGAAGTTCAAGAGACCCAACCTGAGAAGGGTGAGGGTCTCTGCTGATGCCATCCTGCGATCACTGCTGGGCTCCAAACACAAGGTCTCTTTGGATCTGCGAGCAAATCTTAAATCAGTCAAGAAGGAGGACACAGAAAAGGTCGGTTCGGAGTAAAATAAAAACTAAATCAGCTAATGAGATGCTTTTGGCTGCAAGACAATGACACAGTCCTGATTTATTCCCACACAAGGTGCAGCTGTGACAGATTGTCTCCATGGTGACAATTTATTTAAGCCTTTGGCTGATGTCTACGCCAAGGGTGACAGCCAGTGTGAAACTGATTAATCAGCTTTCTTAGCTGGCCAAAAGTAGAAGAAACCACTGGTGCAAGGGACAAGATATTAGATTATGTTTAACAAAGACTCCAATATCCCAGTATTGATTCTGCTTTATAGAGCTGGCTGAAAAGATCAACATCTGATGGAATCATTTTAGACATACACACACAAATTGCATACATTTAAAGTCTTTAAATTCGTACCTCTGTGATTTGCTCTGTGCAGGAGAAGACGGTGGAGGTGAGTGACTGGAGGAAGAATGTGGAAGCCATGTCGGGCATGGAGGGCCGCAAGAAGATGTTTGATGCAGCAGCGGGCCCCAACCAGTAAACGGATGCTATTAAAGAAAAGGCAGCTTTTTATGTTACGTCCAATACCTTCACTTAACAGCACTGAACATACAGAAACTCTCTGCAGTACTTCACATGGTCACAGAGATGTTCTAATCAGTACATGTCCCCACATTTGTGTGTTTTGTTTCATTATCACTGAAATAAACACAGCATATGCAGTCTCTTTTTTGTGTCTTTGTTTTTTTTGAAAGAAGGAACATTTTGTATTCACACACACATCAATCAGCTGTTCGGATGTAATGTCAGTGGATTTAGCATATTGTTTTCATGGACATGTGTAGTTTAGTGGACTAATTTCCCTCCACATCCACATGTCTAAGTGAAAAAATACAGCTTTTTTGGGGGGGGATTCAAAATGTAATTAAAGTCAGATGACTTAAAAGTCGCAGTCAGTGGAATAACATGCATCATGATGACCCAATATTCACCAAAATACAAAACAGATCAGCAACAACTGAGGCTATAATTCAAAATGATTGAAGTCAACAGCATGGAAACTAAAAATGCATCTACCACACCAAAAACACACAAAGGCTAAGCTCATAGTGCAAATAATTAATTCACAATTACTAGCAATGAGGAAGACAGAGAGCAGCAGAGGATAACAACAGCAGGAGAGACACTGAAGACAGACAAGCTCGCAGCAGCACATACCTGCTGCATGGTGCAGGGAAGCAGTGATACCTGCATCTCTGCGGGGAATGAAGCAGGAAGGAAACTCCAGCGTGAAGCTCTCTCTGTGGCAGATTATTATTTCCACAAATCCTTCCTGAAAACAACATGACTGCACTGTTGGGAACTTAGCTTCGTCCTGAAACGCTAAATGTTCAATGGGCAGGGCATCAAACAGTTAAACAGACCGCTTCACTGTGAAGGGTGCGTTTGATTTGTTCTACAACGAGCCGAATATGTATCATGATCTCTTATAGTTTACTACTGAATTTAAATGAATAATACAGAGCTAAGAACTAAGAAACAACAAACAAATGAATATATAGAAATATCAATATTGATAGAATGAATGAAGTTGGGTGGAGTTTACGATGAATTTAAACTCATCCCCAGTATTTAACATCCTAGCTATAACCCTGTATATTCCTGTTTATGTTTTAAATAAATGTAATGTTTAAATTACAACAAAACTTTCTCATTTGATACAGTCTTTCCAAGAGGCCCAAATGAATTATGTTTATATCTATAAAATATATCTATAATATGTTCCAAAAAAGTTCTGAAGTTCTTTTTTTAACAGTCCAAAACCCAGAAATGTTCAATATAATATAAAACAATGATTCACGTTTTATAAGATGTAACCAACAAATGACTAAAACAATTATCCAAATTAATTATTTCATTTTAACTATTAATTTCTGTCTATCCAGTGGTTGATTTAGCTTACTGTTTCAGCTTTAGTATAGAATAATTGAGCGTATCTATCATGCCTCTACAATAATTATTAATTCTTATTCTAAATTAATAGTTTCGAATCTGATTCTGAATACAGAAAGATTCCCAGAGATGACCTACACGGAGTACAAAATATACTATTAATAGTACAAACACAAGGTTTGGGTGCATCTTGTCCAGTTCCATTTCGTGCCACAAGGTGGCAGTATCAGCTTATGCTCGGTTTACTGAGAAAAATTTCCAACCAGCAGGTTTCCGCCTAAAGATAAAAAAAACAGCTATAAACAACACAGTGATTATTGAGGAAGAAGCATAATAAATGAACCTTTTATTGATTCTGAGCTGAATGAGGGACTGGTGCCATCTCAGGGTTAAACAGTATTAGGAAGCATAAGTGCTTTCTGTTGTTTGTTTTAGTTGACTCAGGTGCCAGAGGGGTGGGGTTTGAAACAATACAATCAGGAGGAGAAAGTTTATGCAGCCAAACTAAAGTACTTGAAACTTCACACTGTCATGCCCCCTCTCAATGGTTATTAAAGTAACACAAAGTTTAAACATTCAAACACAAAAGTTTTATTATGGGATTCATTCTAAACTCTATCATAAAATTGTACACCGTTCCTGCCTATGAATGGCCTCTCTGTGGAGTATTTTTATGTTTGTGCCATTGTTCAGTGAGCTCACTGATTCGAATAATTTGTTTTGTGCATCTGTCAGCCAGATGATTACTAGCTTTTCATTCTGTAAAAGAAAAGATGGGCCAAACTGCTGTTTGATAAATCTAGAAAATAAAAAATAAAAATGTGTCTGGGTTATGAGCTCTCTCCTCCTAACATGCACTACAAACAAAGAGGACTCCTTATGTTTAAACACTGCAGGCTTTGTGGAGCAAAACAAACCAAAAACATGTCAGTTTTGTCTTGTATGTAAACAACTGCAGGACAAAACACAGCTCAAATGTTTTGGACAAAATTTGTTTAAAAAGAAAAACCCACCCAAAGGTAGCAAAAAAACACATTACTTCCTGTGTATTCTCAATGTACAAGATGAAGTTTAGCTCAGACAATATTTACCCCAAAACAAGACTTTCGACTTCAAATTTAACTTAATAATAGAAACTACTATCTACTAACTAGTGCATAATTAATGCCTGCAGTTACTCTGTTGCGTCACTGAGCCGATCAGGGAATTACATCTACATTAAACCATCGAAACACACATTACGTTACAATGTACTCTGACTATACTCGGACACACACACACACACACACACACACACACACACACGTACATACATACAACTTGTAACATTTAGCACTATAAAGTCTGTATTAAGATAATTAATTATAATTGATTGCTTTTGTTTCTTTTTTTGAATAGTTTCTAAATGTTTCAGAAAATAAAAAATAATGTACAAATGCCAAATTTCTACAATCCTGAGGCTTCAGTTTGATATTCTAGTACAGCTGTTAGGCGCCAAAGAGCGCCAGAGAGCTAAATTTATCACTGTGGTAGAGTTGGCAATATAGTAAATCTCCAGTGCATAGCAATGCATTGCTGCCAATAGATCAGTATTTTATCATATGAACTCCAGCTGTCAGGTCTAGTATCTAATAAACAAAATTGAGGATTTAGTGATATATCTTGATACATGCACAAGGATGAAGTATTAACAACAGATTTCTGAGGACTTTACCTGAAAAACTGATTTGACAGAAAAATCAGTCAAGTCTTGTTTAACGCAATTAAATCCTTCAATATAGCAATAATTAAGAAAAAGTATTAACACACAATACAGTTCTTTACTGGGCCTATTGACTGGTCTCAATTATGTAAAAACAATAAGAAAATAGGTTTAAATGGAAAATACTTAAGAGATCTGAAACAAACGTATCACTGACTTGCATTTTGCCTCTGAAGACTTGACTGATGTGACTTGACTTTGATTAGCCCCCATCGACTTAGTTTGGGATTTGACTTGAACTTATCTCGGCTATCTTGAGACTCCTGAACTTTACCAAGAAGACTTCCAAACAGCGTCAACAAATCTGTAAACAGAACCAGAGTTGTGATGAAAGGGAGAACTCCATTCAACAAGCCCCACAAACAGAGTTACATTTTGGCTTTGTTTCACAGGAGACATCTGTTGAATCATAATCCCATCTGTGGGGTCAGATTCAGTATAAACAGCAAACACTGGGAGTATCAAAAGACTTGGCATGGTCATAAAGGCTGTTGTTGATAACACGTTATTGCATGTGAGGACTGAGGGCAAGATTAAAGGCGAGGTGCAGGAGACGGTGCCGGGAGGTGACTCATTACTCATTTCGTTGGCAACCTGCTATGGGAATAATGCTCAATGATTTGACTGCATGACACATCCAGTTGAGGGGAATACATGTCTGTTATACAGTCAAATGTATGTGATAAATGTGGTGTTGACCAGCAGAATCACGATGAGTAGAAACAGTAAATGACGTGAGCTTGAACCGTCTCTTTGTGTATTTGTGTGCACACAGGTGTGGCTTTACAAGGATTATTTCCAACATTCCTCACGTCTGCCAGACCTGAGATACTGAAACCTTTTGGGGTCAATAATCCCGTGTTGTTCGGGTCTTGGTTTTGCTGTGTAAAAATAGACAATGCAAGTCCACAGAGAATGCATGTTTTCCCATTCTGGTTAATGCCATCTGCCATCTGTTTGCAGGTATGTGCCCACCCATTGTAGACATGGGCAGCTTGCTGCCATGTGATCCACTACTGGGTTTAAAAGCTTATGGCCCACAGAGGAGGGCACAGAATACAATTCCCCATTGAGCACAGTCTGAAGCGCACATCACACTCTCTAGGTAAGTCTGTGTGCTCCTCTTATATGTTTTTAAACAGAAAAATAGCTTGTTTTATTTTATCAAATATATTATCCCTTGTTGCATACATTTTAAGACATGTGGGTTCAATTTGGCTTTATTATTGCATTATTATATAACTTCAGGCAGTTGTTGATGCAATATCACTCACTATGCACCTTTGAATTGGACTAACTTGTGCAGGTGTTGCATCCTGACCATGTCAGACACAGAAGAAGGCACATATGAGTAAGTAAATTGATCATTTCTGTAGGAAGGAGAGTGGTGATAACAAAGTGATGCCAGCACAGATGGAACCAATTGTAATTAAATGTTTGTGGTGTGTTTTCTTCTTCTTTCAGGGGACAACGTAAGTCAAGTTTGTCAGTTCACACATATGGGCAACATAAGTCTTGTGAGTGTAGTTACTAGGCTGCAGATTCAGACAGCTGCTTGTTGTCAGTGAGAAATTCTGCCATTCGGCTAAACACTACACTGCTGCTTCACAAAATTAAAAATAATGCATGAATGTCGTGATTATGCTTACATATGCACACATATCAGAAATGCTTATATGTTATAGCTGATCTCTGCTTTTTACTCCTCTGTGTGTATGGTGTGAAGAAGACGAGGATATTGTTGGTATGTACTTTAATACAAACAATATCTATGAAAACAATGTTAAACTTTGCTTCCTAATGCATCAATATAAAGAGGCTGCTTGTATTTTTGCTGACGCTTTGTTACCTGCTTTACACACTTGAGCCTTGCATTTATACATTCTAAGTTACTTAACACACCGCATCTGCTAAGCTGCTGGCTTCACCACACAGCATACTGTATTTTTGGCATGTTGGTGCCACTGTAGAGGCAGCTGCTGTCCTCTAGCTCTACTGCAAGATTGACCTCTGTACTTTTAGTCAGTCCTGTCTGTCTGAGGCTAGGATAGTTCACCTTGTATGAACATCCCAGTGGATCTGTCCTTCCAACTCAAATGGTGCAATGGGTCGCCATCAAAGAGATAAAGGGTCGTACCCCTATTTCTGTCCGCTTTGGGAGGCTGTCTATCTGGGCCACTGTACAGCCCTGTTGTCCAAGAGACTAAGCAGCACCTGTCTCCCTCTATGTTGAGTAGAGTCGCTGATTGAGAGCAATGTAGGTCAGCTTATGTTCTCAGTAGAGTACCTTAGGGAAGATAGCGGCAAAGGCACAATGCCCACTTTCATTTTTATGCCTGTTAGAGGTCCTCTAAATGCAGGTCGGCTTACGTTCTTTGCAGAGGAAAGAGGTTGAGTTACCCTCTGTGGCTGAAGGGACTCCAGCTAAAGACTTGGCATCACTGTTTCCCAAAGAGGCCAAATGAGGAAAGCAGTGTTGGGAACAAAAAACTCAGAACCTTATGCACTTTGCAAACAGTGCAAACGCTAAATGCAACTGTGGGAAAGCTGAATTAGTATACCTTATTTATTTTGATTTTATTTATTTTTTGATAAACCTGTTTTTTAATGATATCATGACAGCTTAATTCAAAAAGGAATATTTACATGCAAGAGTTATAAGAAGAATAATATGAGAAAACTACAAGTAGAAGTAAGAATATAAGAAAATGCTTTGTACAAATGTATTCTTTATAAAACATTGACTTGGTTTTGAAGGCACTGTCAAAAATACATGTAGATTGCAAAAATAATGTTGATCTAAAAGCTGTGTGAGATTGTCATTGTTTGCTTGCTTTGCACAGAAGAGGAGGAAGAGGTAGAAGAGGTAGCAGAGGAGGAGGAGGAAGTGGAAGAGGTGGTAGAGGAGGAGGAGGAAGGTAGTAGCGCTTATGCTAATATTTATTTGCATGTATGCAACAAAAGATTTTTTTTTAACACACTGTTGCAACTATGTACAGTCATTGTTAGATTACAAGTACAATATATATAATATATATATA